TTGGCTCCATAACTGTCTCTTTGCTTGGCATACATACCAAACCGAAACAGTCACCAAAGTTCATCGCTGATTTTACCCCTAATGAATAACCATGACATCAACATGGCAATAATTTTCTGGTATTTTTTACTTTTATCACCACTATCAACTCTTGGCAGCCTGAGAAGCGATTCACACAGGGATTTAAATAGCATTTTTCTTTTTTAATATTAGTACATGAAAAACAAACAGCACATTAACATTATGCTTGGCAATGATTACAGACTTCAGCCATCTGCACTGCGAAGCATCAAGTGTGTTGATGAGTTCCACATGCAAAACACAGATTTTATAAATGACATAAGGCGAAAGATTAAATTTAGTCTTGTTTGAATTAATAACTGTTTTGTTTTTCAGATAAGTTGGAATTTATTCATTTGGGACTCATATGCCTTATGCATAGGCAGGAAATTGACACAATTATAATAAATAACTAAACTAATACAATTCAGACTTAACTTCCACAGTGCATGAGAGAAGACAAAATTTAGAGGAACAACATGTCTTCAGTCATCAATCTCAAGATACATAGTGAACAGTTAATAGCCGATGCTAATTACGTGTTAATCATGCTAAAATAAGTCACTAAAATCTACAGTACGGTTCTAAATGTAGAAAATACCGCAACTGACAGTGATAAAGAGGTTGCTGAGAATGAAAAGATTTAAAAAAACAATTTTGTGGGAATTCTGAACTCAAAAATTATAAGAACTTTGCAACTGAACAAGAAATTATATGAAGTAACTTAAACAATTTATATTGAAAGAAATGTTTAATAAAACAAATGTGTAGGCTTTATTTTTCAAATTTTCATTTCCTTAAGATTATAGACACTTCATTGTTTCATAAATAACTATTTCAAATTTTTAATTTTATAATTTGTAAATTTTATCGCATTAGATTGATAACCTAAAATCCAGAATCATCCCAACAATACTGTAATCACAATAATATTTAACATGAGCTCTTCAAAGTCAAATGACAGAAAAGACCATGAAATTCTGCATTTATTTCACTGGTTCACTTTCATGAGATTTGATGCTCAAAGTGACAAAACTTTTTATTTTGCCACGGCAAGGAATTTGCTTAGTGAAAAGATTAAACATCTCTTCAAGGTATTAACCAAAAAGCAAATGAAAGCATATATATATATATCCACACATTTTCCCTCAAAGATGGCCATCTCTGAAAATGAACAGAGTTTCCACGATTTAATTTAAAATATTAATTTGCGATTTGAAAATTTCAGACCATAATCTAGCACATGAAGAAGTTTACCATTCATTTTTTTTTTCCTAATTATATAACTACTTCAGTTCTTTTCTTAAATGAAAATAGTACATAGAACTGTAAAATTATAAAATTAAATCCTTACTATTGTTGAATAAAACTGAAACTCAGTTTAACAAGAACTTTTAAAAGGTTTCACACTTGAATTTTACATTGCTTTCCTAAGCACAAAACATTTTAATCTAAAGTATATCAAAATATTAAAAATATACACTACTGTCAGTATAAAATCTGTAGTAAGTAGGTAGAGAAACTTGCAATCTTAAGTTGCTCCAAAATTTTTTACCATCATTTAGATTTCATTGTGTTGTATCTTCTTATCATGCTTAGCGCATAAAATACCATTTGTTCCCCGGTGTTATTAAGAAATATGCGCTAAGTTCAATTTTTTAAATGACACACTTTCTTATTATTCAAAAATACAGATATATTAACTTTCTAAATGATATATTTTATGTTGATAAGCAACATTTATATTGTTTATTGGCTAAGATGAGATTAATTTGTAGTAATAAATATAATAAAAGATTGCACGTGTCATTAATTACCAAGAATGCTGTTTCCTGTTTCTGTCCCTTGACAGACATGATTTCATCTTTAATTGAAGACAGTAACATTTTGAAATGTTCATAAACTATATTGAACAGCATTGATAATGATGTTTTCTAAAAACTGTTAACCAATCCAAGCATCAGGAAATCTCAAGTGCTCATCTCAGGCAGATAAAATACCGACACAGTAAAAAAGATCAAACCAAACAAAAAATTCTCATAATTCTTTAAGATCTGTTATGCTGTTTCGTCTTATTTCTCTTATTTAATGCAATTAATAGGGAATAAATTTCCTTTAACGGCTATGGTACGAGTTCTGAGAACTAGAACATCATGTTTCATTTATTAGTTCTTTATATACAGAAAAGAGGTGATGTTGCCAATGCCTTGCTTTCTTCATCATTTTCATTAAAAATATTAAGGAAATTTTACTTTAAAATAAATTTATTAATCTTTTGTGTGTAAATGAATATTTCTTTTAAAAAAAATTTGCAAAAATTATAATCTCATTTATGGATCCAGAGGAACCAATAATCCTGTCTGTACACAAATTTTCACCACAGCAATATATAAGGCAAATTTTTCAATGAAAATAATGCAAGTTAATATAGGAAGAAAGAAAAGTGAAATAGTAACTCAGAGAGTCCTTGGTTATGATTTAAAATTATAAATGTACAGAATAAACACGTCATCTTTGATTGAATGCATTTGTGGCTTTTCTAGAGTTATAGAGTTTATTTTAATTTGAGCTGGTGCAATAAAAGATGAGTTTGGAACACAATTTTAGCATAAATTCCTAACTCTAAACAAATAAATAAATCAGATATAGTTTTCTTCTAGTACATGGTATGGCAGACATACTTCTCTAATTGAAAACTGAAATAGAAAAGAGAGATTCCATTCCAAATTTTAGTTCAATGCCTGCTGTTTTGTAATAACTTAGAAAGATAAAACACATTCCTGAAGCTTCACACAGATGTTTTGAACAATGCATCCAGTCTTTGTCTGCAGTAGTGCTGTGAACTTAATACAAACAGCATTTTCAATTCTTCAACAGTCTAAGGCCTATGTTTACAGACTTCAGATTTTGCATATCTCTGGTACTCAGAAACAATGACTTAACTCACTGTCTGTAGAAATTTTGGATACTGTTTATGAATTGAAGCATACAGAGATATTGTCTTTAAAACAGAGCAATGACACAAGAACAAACACTGTTTTGCATGAAGATTATAAAATTTGGAATAGAATCCATTTTGCTCTTCTCATTTCTATTAAGTCACAGATCTTTTTACTGGATCCTGTAATTTAATAATGAGATTACTTAAAATATAAGCTTCAGACACATGATATAGAGGTTAGACAATAAAAGAAATGACAAATATACCACTCTAAAGTTCAAGCCAGCATATGCATTTCCTGTCAGAAACCCTGAATGATTTTTAATTTTACTAGCAGAATCAGAAAATGAGGTTCAAACTTTCAGCAGTATTCAAGTTACTGACTAAACAATTAGTGATTACTAAGCATTAATGGGGATAGACAAATTTCAGAAGGGGGATAAGCTATAGATGCTGATCTAGCTTATGTAACTGTTGCCATGGCGGTAGGTTTTTAAGGCCCACAGTATTTACTAAGTATTCCAATCAATAGTTGTATAGTGACTCATTCGTAGTTGCATTTGACAGAATTCTACCAATGTAACTGATATTGGTTCCAGAAGTAAATTGCTATTGAAAAAGGAATGGCCAGCCTCTGAACCAGTATCCACTCTGTAAACCTCCCCCCCCTGCTACTTTGGAGCAATGCTAGCGGTAAAATGTTATTGCAGTGTAGATTCTGAACAGACTTTCTGTGTATAAAATGTCTTTTCTAGGGAAAATCTTACAATAATTCTTCACTGGGAGGTTGCCAAATTGTACACACCTCAACAAGCAACTAAAAATGACATAGGAAAAAGAACTACAGAACCCGACGAGTCCAAAATTCGGACTCGTCGGGGCTTCCGCGATTCCAGATTTGGGATTTTTCCGGATATTAGATCATCAGTTTAAATCTAGTAAGATGGCATGTACAAATTATAAAATAAAAAATATGAAATCATGATTTATGAAATAATAAAGTATTTATAATCTAAAGGCTATCAAAACTTAGAAAAAAAAACCTTAATATTTATTTGTTTACCTTGTTAAACATTTCTTTCAGTGCAAGTTGTTTATGTTGCTTCGTTTTTTGTGCTAATACTTTCTCTTTAATTCTGTAGACAGACATAATCTCTTGCTCAGTTACGTTTTTGAAGGTCCGGTAACTGCTGTTTCAAGAATTCCACTAACTTGTCAATTTCTCATTTTCAGAACTTCTCTGTCACTTTCTTCACTATCAGTAGCGGTATTTTCTGCATCTAGAACCAGTACGAGTTTTGCCATATTAATTGATTGATGATTGACAAGCATTATAGCACAAAATTCTTTTATACACTTCATTTTACTATTACTACTTCATTTACTACAGCTTCTCCATCATTTCTTTAAAAATCCATTAATTGGAAAATTTCTCCTTTGTTTTGCGATATCCGAAAACGTTTAAAATTAGCAGCTGTCATGACCAAATTTAGCTACCCTTCACTATACATATTTGGCTATGATGCATCATGAGCTTGGCCACTAATGACAAAGAGTTCCTTTAAATTTTATCTTGCTTCTATTGTGCACTCAGACAATTAAGCCTGATTTGTACTTAGTTTATGTATTTATTATACTTATGTCTATTTCTTGCACATGCTTAAGACTTATCAGAGTTCTGAATAAATAAATTCCCACATATACTTAAGCCTTATTGGGGGCCAGTGCTAGATATCTTACTGCTTGATGCAGTCTTTGTGGCTCCTAAATTCAGCTACTCGGTATGGCCATACGAGCCTTGGTGCTGGTTCTGGGTTTATATGAATAACAAATCAGTTATTCTTAATTCAAATAGCCCTAAATGTAATATTTGGGTATATGAGTATCATCAACAAAATCTATTTTTAGCATATGGAATAAAAATAATTAAACCACTTTACGTTCTAGGCACTTTTAATACAGATAATCAGGAGTTGTTAATCAAGAGCCATAAACTTACCCATGCCCAGTTGGACTGATGAAATACAAACATGTATGAATTCTGGTATCATGATAGGTTACAAGAGATCTTTTAATTTTTAATTCTTCTTGCAGAAACATTTCAAACTGAGTATCAATATAATCCACAATAGCTTTAAAACTGAAATGCAATAAAATATTATTTTCATAGATGCATATACTATTACAACAGGAACAATTAAAACATACTAAATATTACAAATCAACAGCTTGGCCATCATCCTCCCTTAATAACCACATACCTACTTACATCAGTAACTGGACACTTAAGAACCAGATGCTAGTGGTTCTCACTGTTTACCATTAAAATGGCAGTATCAAAAAGGAAGAAAGATAACAGAACAAAACTAAGCTTACTTTACAGATTCCTTATCACAAAAATGTGAGATTGTTACAATTTCAAGTGTGTTGAACAAACAGAATTTGCTATGAACAGCACTGGAAGATCCCCCGTCACCAGCAATGACAGACTCTACACAGCGAGGCAGAGTCAAAGAAATTTTAGGTAGCATTTTGGGATGTTGCACGCTAAGCAGCTATAATTTAGTGTTGCCAGATTGTGCAGGTTTTCATAAATTTGAGACCTTTGACAAATGAGATTTTTCAAAATTTCTCCCACTCCATCATTTCTTTGCATTATTTTTATTACCTTAAATGTTTTTTAATATACCATAAAATGCATATATGTTAAAATAATGCATTTATTCAAATTTATAAAAAAAAGTAAAATTATTTAGGCTAAAATAACAGTTGACAACTGGCAATCCTGTGATCACAGCCTATAAGTACACATGTACACAGTTTTCACGAACAGCCGCTTGTATTTCCACATGTTTGGCTGATTACTTGTTTTATATTTTGGTGGCAGGTGATTACAATTCCAAAGCAAAACTGCAGCTAGTGTGTTTAATAAAGTATAAATTATGAAGTAACATAAAAAAAATTCAGCACCACCTTTCAAAATGCTTGTCTTAAATTAGCCATGCTTGAGAAATAGTCAAATAAATTAAAATAGCTACGACAAATGTTTATTGGAAGTTATGTACTGAATATGGATTGAGGGCATGTAAAAAAAGATAAACCATACATTCAAAAAAAAAAATTGTACAACAGCGTTAACAATCTAAACCTGAGAATGCACCTAGCAATGGGTATGAACAAATTAATAGAAAAATAATAACCCAAATTAACTTTAATTCATTTAAAGGACTGAGATTTAAACAATGAAAAATTAGCAATATGCTTTAAAGATTTTAGTCAAATCTAATATATCTAATAAATTGATCAAAAATTTTAATTACAGTCCTTAACACGAAACCTGCTCAACACACAGAGACTGAATTTTTGATGATGTCAAGAGGTCAGAGGTCATGTCAGCTCAACAAACATATAACATGAAAAAAATCATGCGACTTTAGCTTAAAAATTTCTGGCAACACTGCTTTAACTTGTTGCCACAGATCATTTGATTGAGGCACTTTGCATTAGTCTTTGTTGTACCAGTGAGAGTGCCATATTGCTGTATGTTCATTCCAGATATGATCTGGTAAATCTTCTGACCAAGGCAGAACTGCAACCTGCTGTACATCGAGAAGCAGCAGTAGTTGAGTGTGACGTGTAACCACACAGTTCCATTGGAAAGTCATTCATGAGTTTTTTTGAAGATATTGGACAACCGCAGGTCTTAATATGATTGTAATGCAACACTAAACAGACTGAGTATCAGATATGTGTTATATGCCATTGGGAATTGTATCTAGTTGCATCACATAAGTTCCAGTTCTGAAGCAGAATAAGGATGCATAAGAGAGTTCATATACATTTCTGCATATGGAAATCAAGAAAATTTAAGGACCAAGAATGAGAAAAATTAAGAACCTATCAATAAATGGGAATTGAATAAATTAAAGAAATTACCTGTGCAACCAACTTTACTTTTGTAATTCCATTCTCAAAATAAAACAGAAGCATATGTAAGATGTATTATTATGTTATTATTACACATAATCTAATTTCTTACCTAATTGTAAAACAAATTTCAGAATAAAATTCTCCATCTAAAATTTATCAAGTAATTCATGTTAAGTAGGAATACAAATTCCTGATATGCTTATATTCACATTTCTGATAAACACTAACACTTTAAAGCAGATTTACATAGTAAATATTAAAAGGATTTTGCATTTGTAAAAATTATTCATTCAAAAAACACTATTAGACTCATAATCAAAGGAAATTTTAAAATTTAAAGTAACAGGTTATTACATCTGTGATTTATCACAGTAAAGAATTTACAAAGAGCAATTATATATAAAAAGCTAAAAAATATCCATAACTCTTTACTATTCACACAAGTTTTTAATTAAAAAATTTCCTGAATATGCTAGCTAATTTATATCTATTTCCTTCTCAATAACACTTATGAGTGCATTTGTTTCAATAAACAAATC